CTTCTTCATGCATGCGCTCACTCTTTCCCTCTCTCTCTCTACTTGAGATAGCGCACAACTGCTTCGGTATCACTTGCACACTTTTCACGAAAGAGCAATCTCCCTAAAATGCGGCTGGCCAGTCCTTATATTGACTTGGACTGAGCCGGAACTCGTGCCAGCTTCTGCGTCCATTGGCGTGACTTGGTACTGGTACCACATGCCCACGGCCTGTTTGCTTCGGAAAGTCAAGGCCGGGTACTGTCCCGAATTTCGATTGGTGTGGTGCTGCTCGGGTCTGTGAGTCACGACCTTTCGTCTGCGAAACATGAGTTTTGACTATGGGCTGTGGCTCGTGCCTCTGGGAAACGACTTTTGCCTGCAGATGTGTCCTTTGCCTGTGGGATGTGACCTTCCAATATGAGACGTGAGTTTTGCTTATGGAATGCAACTTTCGCCTCTGGGATGTGACTGTTCACCTGGTGCCTGTTGGACTTGACCTCTGGGGGCACCCGACTTAGCTTTTCTGAAACTGCCCGACTTGGCCCCGCTCGGCCTGAGACCCTGAGATTCGAATTTGGGGTCTGCATAGTGGAATGCCTTCCAAAAACAACCTTCAAGTTTCTGAAGCTGGATCTAAGTGCGCAATTGACGGAGAGGCCTGCAATTGCCTCTCCTACTACTTCGGAAAGCCAGCATCTATCTATTCTCTCCGTAAGATATGCACAAAAGCAGGTACAGGACGGAAGCCCTCACACAACAGCAGAAATAAATTATTGCAACCTCGGGGTGCTCCATCGTGACCACGGCTGGAGGTGGCTACGGGGTTCTCTGTAATAATACCATAATAACAAAATAAGGCCAGAAAAACGCCATCCTGTCAGATTTGACAGAAGACTCAATTATTTATTGCTTTCGGCAACTTACTTAACCTCAAGCTTGAAGGGGGCGCCGGGGGGGGAAAGGGGGGGAGGGAAAGAAGGGAATACCATTGGAGATTTCTGAAGAATCTGAACAGACAGCTCTCAAGAAGCTACACCCACTCTCTCTCCAATCAGATAGAAGGCACAAGCAGAAACAAGAGAAAAACGACAGCCCAACACCGCCTTGTTCAACTCCAGTCTATCCAACAGAGGCCCTCGATCCTCTATCCTAGAAATGCTACGAATTTCCTAGAGCTTCTTACGAAAACTTGCAATTAGATTTCTCCCTGTCATTGCGTTTTTCGTTCCACGGACGAGTATGTTGCCCTTTGCCTCCATTTGGAAAACAAAATTTAAAGAAAAGAAGTTGTGTTTCCGCTGATCTAAGGAGTAGTCCTAGAGTTTCTGGAGAATTTCGAGGAAATGGCCGGGAAATTCCTAAAACTCTACAAATGTTTTCACATCCGTCCTCGACAATTTTGTGGAGTTGTGATCACGGAACTGTGCATCGACAAAATTTCCCACAGAATGACTGTCTTCCAGAGCAGGGAAAGAGACCCAGAGTAGATGTTATTTTAAGACTGTTTTGACAGTTTTTCTGAGGACGAAAACTAACCGACGAAGTAGGGACACCCAGAATTTCGCGAAAGTCTGACATTGCCCACACCCAAGCCTACTAGGCCACCCCACGGCCAGCTGCGGGTGCAAAGTTGTGCATCTTTTAGGTGTTGTGATGATCCCTGGATCCCTGGCCTGTATCGGCATACCCTCTGTACGAAAACCCTTAGCTGGGACAGATTTTTGGACAATAAATTTCTCCTTAGATCATCTCCAGTATGAAACTAGTCATCATGCCATGCATATCACGTAATAATGGGAATTTATCCCATGGTCTGCAGTGATTGCCAACATGGCTTGACCAGGAAAGAGCCCCACAAGCAACCAGATTAGTTGGATTTTACTTCTGACATTGTATCCCCAACTCTAAAAACTCTTTCCGACATCGGACCTCTTGCGTTGCCCGGTGTACACACTACTGTGTAACCACGAGCTAATTCAGCGCCGTGTCGAAGCTCGTTTTTTTAGCTCCAATTAGTTGATTTTCTTTAAGAAACCTTACATATACCATGCTTTTGCAGTTGTCACATGGAAGCCACGGCCCTTTACTAGGATCTGACTCTGGATATTTAAGTTTAGGTGAAGTAAGCGCTGCATGAGCGGAGCCGGGAAGGCGGGTCTCAAAGAGGTGCTGGAGGGGGTTGGGGGTCCTGAGGGGCGGAGGGTGTGGAAGGGGCCCCTGGGCACACCCGACTGCTCCTACCCCACCCCTAAGGCCCAGCCAGTTTCTTTTTTTAATAAGAACAAGTGGACCCGCCGCAGCCACGCTGCGGCAGAGGAGAGGGACGAAGAGGGGGGCGGGGCTGTTGTTGTTACACTGCCGGTGTTTTTTAATTTTTTAATTTTTATTTTGTAGTCATATTCGCTATACACTCAAAAAAAACATGACTGTGGCAGGCTGTTTCCGAGTGATCAGGAGGTTGTGTGTGTGTGTGTGTGTGTGTGTGTGTGTGTGTGAGAGAGAGAGAGAGAGTGTGTGTGTCTCTCTCTCTCTCTCTCTCTCTCTCTCTCTCTCTCTCTGGGTGCCCTGGCCGACTTGGCCAAGGCTGTGCCCGACCGAGCACTGCACGTGTTGCTATCTGCATTTCGACACTCAGCGTACGTACGGAGGATCAGACATCGAGACGATCCATTTGGGACCATTTTTAGACAAGGATGTTTGGTTGGAACCCGACGATCATCGAACATTTTGTAATTTTGGTAATTGAACTTGGCTTTCCGGTGAATTTTGACGACTGGAGGTGACACCCGGGACATGCTCGTTAGCCTGGAAGACCGGGAGGACCGAGGCCCTCCACGTCGGTGTTTTTGCTTTTCTAGACTACTACATGTACCCAGGCTCCAAGTAGGTATAGGTACGGACTACCAGGGCCTGCGGGGAGGTCGACGTTCTGACTGACTCTAGTATTCGGATCTTATTTTATTTTGCGGTATTTTATTTTGGTCGTTATCCATTCGGATCGT